CTTCGGTTCTCTACAACTGTGATATCCAGCGTATTGTGTTCCAAATGGCAGTCTGTCTGTATTCGAAAGTCCCACAAGATCTTCACCCTCTCATTCTCAACAACTTTTTCCACCCTATGTTCCCACAACTTTTCAGACTCAGGCAAGTCGTATTTTTTACACAATGCCCAGTGGATTAATTTAGCAACTCGGTCATGTTTAGATTTGTAATCAGTTTGTGCGATTTTGCTGCACTCACAAATTAGGTGTGAAACAGTTTCAACTTTGTCATTGCAAAGTCGGCAATTTGGATTGTCAGTGGATTTTTGTATCTTCACTTTCATGATATTAGTTTGTAGTGCTTGTTCTTGAGCAACCAGTATTAGGCCTTCTGTTTCTTTCTTGATGGTTCCCATCTTAAGCCATACCGATGTCAAGTTGTTATCACATTTTCCTTCAATGCTTTTCAAATGCTGTTCATGCAAAGTTTTGGTTTTCCATCTATTTAATCTGTCATCCAGCTATTCTTCCTTATATTCTGCCTTTGTTTCTGTTATTTTTATAGTGCTCTCTGTTTTCACAGCCTGCAGCAGTTTTTTTGTACTTTGATTCACATAGTCATTCAAACTTCGTTTTTCTTCTTCTACAGTTTGGTGGATTTGCAATAGTCCTCAGCCCCTTTTTTTCTTGGCAGATACAACCTGTTGATGTCACTTTGTGGATGTAGAGCATGGTGTATATTCAGAAGTTTACGCGTTTTCCAGTCTAGGTTTTCCAGTTCAGCCAAAGTCCAGTTGATAATTCCAGCTGGGTAGCGTATCACTGGGATTGTCCATGTATTAATAGCTTTAATTATGTTTCCAGCATTCAGTTTTGATTTTAAAATTTTGTGGACTCCTGATGTATTTCTTTTGCGTTGACTCTTTGACTTTTCCATTCAAGATGTTATCTGCTTCCAATATGCCTAAGTATCTGCAACCATCATCCTTCGCTAGTGCTTTCACAATACTTCTATTTCCCAGTTCTATTCCTTCTATTTTTGCCATTTTTCTTCATTGCATGGATAATACAGCACATTTTCCAAGTCCAAAGTTCATTCTGATGTTGCTGCTAAATAGTTGGACTGTGTTGAGTATTGATTCAAGTTCAGTGTGGCTTTTCGCATACAATTTTAAGTCATCCATGTACAGCAGATGGTTCATCTTGCCATGCTGGCCTGAGATGTAGTATCCCAGTTTTGTGTTTCATAAGATTATTGTCAACGGAATTAATGCAATGTTGAAATTCCTCATCTGATGTTAATTTCACCAATGTTCTCCCCATTTGCTGTTAGGGCTGTTTTCCATTTTTGCATATTTGCTTTCAAAAATGTATAGATATTTTTGCTGATTCCAAAGTTTGTAGTATTATTATTATTATTATTATTATTATTATTATTATTATTATTATTATTACATTTTATTGTTGTTATTATTGTTATTGTTATTATAATTATTATTAATATTAACATTACATTTTATTGTTGTTATTGTTATTATTATTATTATTATTATTATTATTATTATTATTGTGTATTTTAAGATACAAAGAGGAAAGGAAATGCTTGGAGAGATACTGGAAATGTAGAATCAAAAGAAAAAATAGATTGATAAGTAGAAGTTATGTGATGACATCATTCTGAGATAAAATTTGTCTGAAATAATAATTCATTAAACATTTATCTTTATTAGCATCTGTGGCCTTTCATAACTATCATCCCAAATTTCCAAAGACAATTTCTGTACTGGTTAGTTAAAGATGGTTTTTCAGGTTCTGAATTTGAAGTCAACAGACTGATGAAATGTAGTACACTGGATTTAAGTGTTTACTTCTAAACCATGAAAACCTTTGTCCATAATTAACAAGCGCCCAAAATAAAGAGTACAATGCTGTTTACCAACTATTAGAAAAATAAATATTCTTACAGACAATGTTTTCTTTCTCCAGTACATTTCTATTTAGTACAAACTTTATTCAGAGATGATGCTCTGAGACTTTCATTAATAATAACATTTTTATAGTATATAAATGAAGATAGACCAATGTAGATTCAAACAGATAACCTGATTAAAGCTGACTGGCCACGTGATGGAATCTACAGAAATATTGAAGAACTTGTCTGCTGGAGCTGTGGGATCTACCATTCCATTCCTGAGTGGGAATGGGTTTAATAGAACGGAGGAGAAAAAATAATCTTTGGTATAGACTCAAACCATATTTTTAATTTAAAAACTGAATAATATAGGAGTCAGAATACAGTTTGTGTAACTCTCTTAGAAGTTGGAATATTGTGATTTAGTTCTCTACTAAACAACCATTTGACCTATGTTGTAATATCTTTATATAAAATTCTAACTAAAGGAAGTCCTTAACATACAGTATGACTTTAATTCAACTCAGAATTATAATCACAAGTCATACTAATCATTTAGTGGGTCATTTATGACCCTTTTTTAAAAAGTAGACATTTAGTAAACGTCTTGGTTATTAAACAAATCCATTGTTTATTGGAATTTTCCAACAAAATAGATTAAACTAGAGTACACTAGACTAGACTAAAATAATAAAATAAAATAAAAAGATCATATGACTGCAGGGTGCTGCACACAGCCATAAGTGCAGGTCAATTGTCAAGCATCAAAATATGGTCTGTTCATCCATCTGAATAGAACTCCAAGTTGTGGCCATGGTGATGTGCCTGTTAACTTTATTCTGTCACTTAGTATATAATTGTAACTCAAGAACTACTTATAGTTGTGAGAGCCAGTGGTAATAGAAGAAAAAGCCTTTTCCACAATCTTTTAATCAAATGCCATTTTTGGATCTATGAAAATTGCACAAAGAGCACCTTCAAGAGGATTTATATACTTTGCAGAGAGTGGTGCAGAGGGATGCACTAATCCACAATATAAAAACCTGGCCTTAACCAGGATTGCTCCATTTGATAATTATGCATAGTCACCTGCTGGGACCATTGTAGCTGAATTGGTCTTGTTGTTCTTTTTGGCATAATAATAATATTTGTCATTTGGGGGAATTTGCAGTGAGCTTTCAAAATTAGTGAATAAGAGAGCAAAACTGTCACCTACCAATCAGGATTTTGTTTCAGCACTGTGGGGGAATCCACTTTGCTCAAATATCACCCCTGCCCCACCTACTTTCTTTTTTTCTTTCTTCTCTTTTCTGCACCTTGGTTTTGCATTACTTGCACTTTTTGTAATTCTGCATTTTTTATTTTCTTTTTACTCCTAACTGATTTTGCTACCTAAAATCCCTGGTTATCCCTCTTTCATGCCCTCCTAATGTGACTAGATGGACACATGACAAGAAAAGCATGCTCCATTAAACTCAAATTAACTAAATCTTGCACACTTTCTAGAGCCTGAAAGATTAAACGCGTATTCTAATTCCACTTTGGAACTACAAATCAATAATTGGACATATTTCTCATTCTCTAAGTAACCAATAGAATCATCTTCACTTTGCAAAAGCTAGATAGTATTCCACTGTCCACTGAAAGTTTCAGGTTCATCAGAGAGCTCTGGAACCCTGAACTCATAGGACATAGAATAACAGAGTTGGAAAAGACCTTGAAAATCTTCCAGTCCAATCCCTAAATTTTGCAGGAGACCCTATACCATTTCAGATAAATGATTGTCCAGTCTCTTTTTGAAAGCCTTTAGTGATAGAGCACCCACAATTTCTGAAGGCAATATATTCCATTGGTTGATTGTTCTCATCATTAGGTAATTTATCCATAGTTCACGGTTACTTCTCTCCTTTCTAAGTTTGCATCCATTGTTTCTTCTCTTGCCTTTTGGTACTTTGGAAAATAGTTTCACCCCCTCATCTTCGTAGGAGCTCCTATAATACTGGAACACTGCTTTCATGTCTCCCCTTGTCCTTATTTCCATTAGACTAGACATACCCAATGCCTCTCTGCCCCTAGAAAAGACTCATCATAGTCTTCCCTAGCAGCACACTTATAAAAGGAATTCCTGTCAAAGCAATATAGTTTAGTGGCAAACACTATAGGCTCTGTCTATTTAAATCTCATTTCTATTAGTGAAACACTTGATATTTTCTATAGAACACTACACCCTACCTCTTCTGCTATAGCCACAAAAAAAGAGACGTTCCAAAGTCTCTGCAAATTTGAGCCAGAGACAAACCATAGAACCAGCATGATTTCATAACCTGGCATTTAGAATCATGGTCTGCCTTTCAGTCAACTGATGCAACACTCTCTGTACTCAACAGATCGATGAACATGGAACATGCTATTCTATATAGTGGACATACTTGGTACAGAGATCGCTCAATTTCCTAGAAAAAGACCATTGTGTAAATGGGATACTAGTGTGTATGGTACTTCTGGTGGTATTTATTTGGATTTGCCAGAATTGCATTTCCCCCCCCCCCAAGATTTTAATTGCACTTGGTACTAAGAAGAATACATATGGCCAACTCGAATATCTTTTGCATTTACCCCACTTTTCATAGATTTCCACTTCATATGTTGTGTAGCAGAGGATCTGTAAGTTTTGATTGATTCAGAGACAATTCATAGGACCTCCCTGTTTAACCAAAGGCTCATTTGTATTTAATCTCAACTTCTATTCCACATGTAAGTTAAGATGACCAATAAAGACAATTTAATAATTCACATGAAATCTATATATTTAGTGTTAGACTGTTATTCCTAACAAAATTATAACCAATCAAATACGGAGGAACAATTCCCATTGTTCTGTAAAGAGAATTAACTATTCTTGCCATCCTTAGCCCCACTATATACTGATATATGTCAATAAATAAAGTTCTGCTACTGCTGGTTTATTTATACAATATGTTCCGAGATATCCAAATCTCAGGGGATAGACAATATGGAATACCAATCTATCTGCACATTAATTTTGGGTTAAATGTCCACGTTCTTCAACATGTACATATCAAGAATATCAGGGAAACAAACAGATTTCTTAAAACTTTCTTTTCATGAGCTGATGTTTAGTGTTCAGTTCAGGTCTCATCACAATGATAAAACACTTGGGAAAAAAGATGCACACCAATAATCCAGCACTGGAGGAAATCATGGAGAAGATCTCCACAGCCAGCATATATTTTCCCCTTGTGCTGAGATAGGTTGGAATAAAGCACAGCCAAACACTGCAGAACACCAACATGCTGAAGGTGATGAATTTGGCTTCATTGAAACTGTCAGGCAACTTCCTAGCTAGAAAAGCAGCAGAGAAGCTAACTAGAGCAAGAAATCCCATAAAGCCCAAAACACAATAGAACATAACCGATTCCTCATTGCACTCCATGATGATTTCTTCAGACATTGACTGCATATCAGTATCTGGGTATGGTGGAGAGGTTATCAGCCATGCAGCACAAAAAGAAATTTGAACAAGGATGCAGGAGAGAAGAATAAAACTGACCATTCTTCCCCCCACCCATTTCCTTAATTTGGAACCAGGTTTGGTGGCCATGAATGCTAGAACCACAACAAAGGTTTTGGCCAATATACAAGAAACTGCCACAGAAAAAATGAGGCCAAAAGCTGGTTGTCGAAGCAGACACACAATCTTTTCAGGTCTCCCAATAAATAGAAAGACACAAAAGAAGGAGAGGAGGAGGGAAACTAAGAGAGTGTAGGTCAGATTCCGGTTGTTGGCTTTGACAATAGGAGTGTCTTTATGTTTCATGAAGATTATTATTACCAAAATTGTCATTAAAACAAAGCAAAGACAAAGAGCAGTCAGACTGATCCCCAAAGGTTCTTTACAGGATAAAAAGGTGATCCGCTTTGGAATGCACATATTTTTCTGAGAATTGGGATATTGATCTTTGGGACATGGAGAACAATCATCCTTGTCTGAAAAAGAAAACAGTGGAATAGTTACAACTGATTATAGACTTTGTTGTATGCTCATATACCCTTCGTATAATAGGGCTTACTCCCATTATATGTGGAAATTTCCTACCCTTCTCCTTTGAAATTTTCCCCTCTGGACATAGATGGCAATCATAGCAGCAAAATGACTCCACTTCTTTCTTGGCCTTGCTGTATCCTGTCTCACAAGGATCATTACACAAAGACAGAGGCAATGCCTATCAATGAATGAAGAAGTTAGGATTAGACAGCATCACCACCAGATGGATTCGTAGCTAGCTTACTGGCCATACTCAACATGTGGTCCTCAATGGAACTGCATCTACATGGAGGGAAGTGTGTAATGGGGTGCCCCAGGGCTCTGTTCTGTGCCCAGTGATCTTCAACATCTTCATCAATGAATTGGATGAGGGGATAGATGAGGAACTCATCAGATTTGCAGATGACACCAAGTTGAAAGGAATAGCCAACCCTCCAGAAGACAGGCTTAAGATACAGAAGGATCTTGATAGACTTGAACATTGCGGGCTATCTAACAAAATGAAAGTCAAGGGTGAAAAATGTAAGATTCTACATTTAGGCAAGGAAAACCAAAACCACAGGTACAGTATAGGTGGCACTTTGCTCAATATTAGTAACTATGCAAAGGATATCAGAGTCCTAGTGGAAAATCATTTAAACATGAGCCATCAGTGTACTGCCACTGATAAAAAATCCAACACAGTGTTAGGATGCATTATCAAAGGGATAGAATCAAGTTCACGTAAAGTGTTAATACCACTTTACAATGCCTTGCTAAGGCCACACTTGGAATACTGCATCCAGTTTTGGGCACCACAATGTAAAAACAATGTTGAGACTCTAGAAAGAGTACGGAAGGGAGCAACAAAAATGATTAGGGGACTGGAGGCTAAAACACATGGGGAATGATTGCTGGAACTGAGTATGCCTAGTTCAATGAAGAGAAGGACTAGGGGTGACATGAATGAATAGAATGAACAGAAAAAAAAATTGATGTGATATGATGTGATGACACCCTTTCAAGATGGAATGGGTCTGAAATAACAATTCATTAAATACTTATATTTATTGGCCTTTCATAATTATCATCCCAATTTTCCAAAGACAATTTCTGTATTGGTTAGTAAAAGATGGTTTCTCAGGTTCTGAATTTGAAGTCAACAGACTGATGAAATGTAATACACTGGATTTCAGTGTTCACTTCTAAACCATGAAAACCTTTGTCCATAATTAACAGAGGCCCAAAATAAACGGTACAATGCTGTTTACCAACTATTAGGAAAGTAAATATTCTTACAGACATTCAGAGATGATGCCATGAGACTTTCATTAATAATAACATTTTATAGTATATAAATAAAGACAGACCAATGTAGATTCAAACAGCTAACCTGATTAAAGCTGACTGGCCACGTGATGGAATCTACAGAAATATTGAAGAACTTGTCTGCTGGAGCTGTGGGATCTACCATTCCTACTTTGACCCTTATAAAAGATTGGTTTGGGAATGTGATCCAGTTGATAATATCATATCCACCAATGAATTCTCCATTTTTATCAAAGGAGATCTTTTCACCAACACTGTTGTTGAATCTGACACTTTTCAGAAAGGAATGAACCTGCAATACATCAATATGGAGAGAGGGACAAAGAGAGAACAGAAGAGAGGGAGGGAAAAATAATTCATTTGTTCAAACCATATATATGGATGCCTCTTTACAGAAAGAATATACAAAACCTTTTTTTAGTTGTAAGCCAATACCAGACAAATAACATAACAATCATTCAAAAATAGCAGTAGAGGTAAAATATCAGATTACTGAAATAAAATTAGGATAAAATTGCAATATAAAAAGGAAAATAAACTGCACTTTGTACTTTAATAGTAAAAGCTACTTAAACTACCTTACTACATTTACTTCTAAAGATATTTTAGTTTCTACACTACACTAATTACAGACTTACCTCCCACCACATTTGATTGTGAAACTTTTTCCTTCCTTTTTTCACTATTGCTTTTTCCCTGGATTTGGATAAATACAGAGATTGCAAAGCATGTGCCACAACATGGACTGCATTGTAAATATGGTAACTCTGACTGCTCATGCGTGTTTCAAACACAGATATGGGAAGGGTCTCAAGCCTCTCTTCTCCACTACATTTCTTCTCAGGCCTCTCCATTTCTGAGTTTGTAAAGAAACAATCAAATGCCTGTTCCCAAAAATCTTTCCAAAAATGATCATGTTGGTTGTTGTATGGACTTAAGTTCTGAAGAAATTCCTGGAAATCTTGGACCTCCTTTGAGTGAACTGCAAAGGATAAAGCACCATGTAGGAAATGGATATCCCAAGATTTATGAATAGACACTGAAGTATAATCTGTCTGAGCACTTATAAGCCAAATCTTTTCCTTCCTTGGTACATCCTCCACTTCTGAAAACTGGAGGAAACTTCTCAGAACTGATAAGGAGTAAATGTTACCATATAAGATGATCACATTAGCAGTGCCGTTCATGAGAACATGGTATATATGTAATCCTTCATCTATGATATCAGTAAAATCGGTGTAAAAAGCTACATTTGGGAACTCTGCTATGAATTCAATGCAGATGCCATGCTCAAAAAATGTTGGGAGTATCTCCTTGAGAAATTTCTCTCCTTTTTCATCTTTTACTACAAGAATTCCAATCCAGATCCATCTAAAATATAGCAATAACCGCAGAAGGCCATTACGTTGGTGGGATTCATCTGGAAACATTTGTTGGAAGAAAATTGACTGAGTCTTTTCATCCATGACTTGAGCAGAGCCATAGGTCAACTACGGAAAGATAAACATATGCAATTCCTAAGGTCTATGTGAGCTTCCGAAAACATAAATTTTCATTTGAGTCTTTTACTACCATTGAATTTAAATAATGAAATACTAGTCATTTTTATTTTGTAATATCAGTCAAGATTTCACTTTTAAGGTATCATTAAATATCTTTCCCTGGAAGTAATCTCATTGTGAATATTTTACATTTGAACCTTAGTTCAGCTTCTAGAATTGGAGAACACTTTGCTAGGCCAAATATCCCCATTGTCTGTTCAGAGTTACAGTTATTGATGCTGCTATGGTGATGCTACCAAGCAGAAAATAATAACTAGGAATCTGAAAGTTCTCTTCTTTTTACAAAGAAAAGTATACAGATGTCTGGGGAGGTATGGCAGAATAAAAAATGTATATCTTCCTTACATCATACCTGAGGAACTTTGTAGATGCACAATATAGTTGCCATGTGAAGAGCAATGTCAGGTCCCCCAATGACTGCAGCCAAAATCTTTGGGATCCCACACTTGTAGTTAGGGATGAATTTTCCCTGAGTGAAAGGCAGCAACATTGAGGCAAAGTAAGTCCAGCCTGGACTAAAATGGCTGTCAAAAATGTGAAAGCCCAGTGTTACATTGGGTAGAATTTGGGAGTTTTCATTAATCTGTTGTACAGTAAACACTAAGGCCAGGATGTGCTGGTAATTCTGAAAATATATTCTGTAAAACCAAAAAAAAAAAAAAAAAATCTCAGTTAAGAATGCATTAAGAGTTGCTTGTTTCTTATTATGGCTTTTCAAATTTTTCAGTACAACATTTTTTGTGCAATGTATTTTTATTATTCATCTAAGACCCTCAAAAATGTATTTTTATTATTCATCTAAGACCCTCAAAAATGCAAAGCAAAATACTATATACTACATATATACGCTCCCAGGAACTGGAGTTTATTTTTATTACAAATCAAATACTGGCTTCAAATTGGAAGCATTATTTCTTAACACAAGTGAAAGCCTAGTATCCAACCTCAGTTTTTAAATATGGATGAAATTTCTTATGTGTCAGAAATATCAAATAAGAAAAATTATCATGGGAAATATATGCCCCCCCCGAAAAAAATCTTAGTGGTAGATTCTTCTGAATCTTGGTTGCACAGTGGTTAAAATGCAGTTTTCTAAGCTAATTCTGCCAACTGCCAAGAATTTTATCCTGACCAGCTCAAGGTTGACTCATCCTTCCATCCTTCCAAGGTCAGTAAAATGAGGACCTAATATTTTGGGGAAAATATACTGATGTTATAAGTGGCTCAGAGAGTGATGTAAAGCACTGTAGAGCAGTGTATAAGTTTAAGTGCTATTGCTATCTTCATAAATGAAGACATACATCCCTCTATATTTATATATATATATATATATATATATATATATATATATATATATATATATATATATATATGTATGTATAAATGGGATTTTTTTATAAATGGAGATTTGGCCCTTTTTCAACTTTACATGGAAACTAAAGCACAATATATTTTCACATAAAATAAATCTAGCATCCTGTTTAAGATGCTTCTTTCCAAATATTTTGTCATTAAAAAAAAAAAAACACTTGAAGCATCATGTCATTTAACAGTGATGTCCAGAATCTGACAATGAAATGATGTTGTACTTACATAAGTCCATCACGAAATCCCTGAGAAGGATTTTGACTGAAATCAATGGGTTTAGAAAATGTAAAAAATACAGAAATAATGCTAGCAATATTAACATCTCCATGCTGATGATATTTGTGGTGAATAGGAACCGGCTCATGAAAGCCACACTGAAGGTTAGGATCCTTGCACACCATTTGAGGCATTACTATTAGCAGTATCTCCATGGATACTAACATTTACCATGAGTGTCTTCTTTTTATGCGCAAATGCCTCTGTCTGCAACACGATCGTTGAAGTAGATCAGTATTCTTGAGAAGTTTTTCAAAGAGAAATGGATACTATCAATTCAGCTCACAAATCTTTGGGTCTTCCATCCATGGGAAGGAATATCATGAGAACGATAAATAACATCCTTCAGGGTCAGTTCTTCTTTTTTCCAAAGAGACCCATAGGATTTGGAAGAGACAAACAAGCTAATTTCACTATGATAGTGACACTGTCACCTATGCAAACAACTTAAAACCATCTGAATTCTCCTGAGGCAAAAAGAAATGAGCCACAAGACAAAAATAAAATTTTGGGATCTATAAACCAAAAGAAAGATGTAAATATAGACATAAGTATAGGCATTGATTATAGCTACTATGGATCTATTCTATTCTATTCTATTCTATTCTATTCTATTCTATTCCATTCCATTCCATTCCATTCCATTCCTCCAGTACACTATACTATTCCCCACTCTCTGCTCCATTTATTCCAGTAAGATTGATGCATTCTTCCAGAAATAGGTTAATTGAAATTCTTGATTGTCAAGTGGTGGAATTCAGACTGTTTCAGATTGACATATTATGTTGCATGATGCTAATTCATGAAAACTGCATTGGGAAACAGACAGCCACATGATATAGCTGAGTGGGAATGGATTTAATAGCCACAGAACAGAGGGGAAAAATCAGTTTTGGTATAGACTCTAACCATATTTTTAATTTAAAAACTGAATAATATAGGAGTCAGAATACAGATTGTGTAACTCTTTTAGAAGTTGGAATATGGTGAATCAGTTCTCCACTAATCAACCATTTGACCTATGTTTTAATGTCTTCATATAACATCCCAGCTAAAGGAAGTCCTTAATATATAGTATGACTTTAATTCAACACTGAATTATAATCATACGTCATGCCAATCATCCAGTGGATCATTTATGACCTTTTTTAAAAAAGCAGATATTTAGTGAAGGTCTTGGTTATTAAACAAATCCATTGTTTATTGGAATTTTCCACCAAAATAGATTAAACTAGACTAGACTAGACTAGACTAGACTAGACTAAAATAAAAAAATAAAAAAAATAATATGACTGCAGAGTGCTGCAAAAAACCATAAGTACAGGTCAATTGCCAAGCATCAAAATATGGTCTGTTCAGCCATCTGAATAGGAGTCCATGATGTGGCCATGGCGATGTGTCTGTTAACTTTTTCCTGTCACTTAGCATATAATTGTAACTCAAGAACTACCTATAGTTGGAGAAGCCAATGGTAATAAAGGAAAAATCTTTTTTCTCCAATGTTTTGATCAAATGCCAGCACAAAGAGCACCTTCAGGTGGGTTTATATACTTTGCAGAGAGTAGTGCAGAGGGATGCACTGATCCACAATATAAAAACCTGGCCTTAACCAGGATTGCTCCATTTGATAATTATGCATAGTCAGCTGCTGGGACCATTGTAACTGAATTGGTCTTGTTGTCCTTTTTGGCATTATAATAATTTTTGTCATTTTGGGAGATTTGCAGTGAGCTTTCAAAATTAGTGAATAAGAGAGCAAAACTGTCACCTACCAATCAGGATTTTATTTCAGCACTGTGGGGGAATCCACTTCGCTCAAAGATCACCCCGGCCCCACCTACTTTCTTTTTTTCTTTCTTCTCTTTTCTGCACCTTGGTTTTGCAGTACTTACACTCTTTGTAATTCTGCTTTTCTATTTTCTTTTTACTCCTAACTGATTTTGTTGCCTAAAATCCCTGATTATCCCTCTTTCATGCCCTTCTAATGTGACTAGATGGACATATGACAAGAAAAGCATGCTCCATTAAACTGAAATTAATGAAATCTTGCATAGATTCTAGAGCCTGAAAGATTACACACTAATTCTAATTCCACTTTGGAACTGCAAATTAATAATTGGACATATTTCTCATTCTCTAACTCAGGGCTTTTCAACCTTTTCACCCATTGTACCACTTTTAGGATACGGCAACATCCGAGTACCATCAGTCGCCTAGCAAGGTGTCAAAATCTTGATGACCAAAAAAAAAAAAAAGGAAAAAAGTGATTAAGTACAGGTAGTCCTTGACTTACAACCATTTGCTTAGTGACTGTTCGAAGTTACAATAGCACTGAAAAAAGTGCTCCCCAAAAAGCACAGCCGAGCAAGACACCTGCCTGTGGTGCTCTTCCTCCTGTCCAAGGTTTTCATTGTTGTGAGGCATTTCTATTGAGGATTGGCAGTGGGGATGGGGTGGGGGAGTGTTTGGTTTTTATTCCCCCCATGTGCTGGGTGGTTGCAACAGGTTTTGGTCACTTCACATGACCCTGGGACACTGTGACCATCATAAATATGAATCAGTTGCCAAGCATCTGAATGTAAATCACAAGACCCTGGAGATGCTGCAACATTCCAGCTGATTGGTGCTTCTTCAGGGCTCTACAGTAGCACCAGGATCAGCGTAGAGCCCCAGCTGGAGCCTGGCACTGCTCCTGGTGCTTCCACTGAGTCCTGACAGCCCTGAAGAAGCACCAATAAGCTGGAAAGCAGCACTGATCATGGCACTTCCACTGAGCCCTGACAGCTCCGAAGAAGCGCCGATCAGCTGGAAGTGGCACTGATCCTGGTGCTTCCGCTGAGCCCTGACAGGCCTGCAGCTCCAGCCATCTCTCACTAGGCTTGTGTGGTGCTGCCACCATTTCAGCTCATTCCCTTCTCCCACTACCACAGGTGGCACCCGTACCACTGGTTGAAAAGCCCTGCTCCAACTAAGCAATAGAATCATCCTCACTTTGCAAAAGCTAGATTGTATTCTACTGCCCACTGAAAGTTTCAGGTTGATCAGAGAGAGAGAGAGAGCTCTGGAATCCTGAACTCATGGGACATAGAATAATGCAGTTGGAAAGGACCTTGAAGATTTTCCAGTCCAATCCCTAACTTTTGCAAGAGACCCTATGCCATTTCAGATAAATGATTGTCCAGTCTCTTTTTGAAAGCCTTTAGTGATAGAGCACCCACAATTTCTGAAGACAATATATTCCATTGGTTGATTGTTCTTAGCATTAGGCAATTTCTCCTTAGTTTGTGGTTATTTAAATCTCATTTCTATCAGTGAAATAACTGATTTTTCTATAGAACACTATACCCTACCTCTTCTGCTACAGCCATAAAAAGAGACATTCCAAAGACTCTGCAAATGTGAGCCAGTGGGCAACCATAGAAACTAACATGATCTCATAACCTGGCATTTAGAATCATGTTATGCCTTTCAGTCAACTGGTGCAACACTCTCTGTACTCAACAGATCGATGAACATGGAACATGCTATTCTATACAGTGTACATACTCGATACAGAGATCACTCAATTTCCTAGAAAAAGGCCATTGTGTAAATGGGATACTAGTGTGTATGGTACTTCCGGCGGTATATATTTGGATTTGCCAGAATTGTGTTTTTCCCCAAGAGATTTTAATTGCCTTTGCTACTAAGGAGAAGACATATGGCCAACTGGAAGATCTTTTGAATTTACTCCACTTTTCATAGATTATTACTACATATGATGTGTACCAGATGATCTGTAAGTTTTGATTGCTTCAGAAAGAATTCATAGGACCTCCCTTTTTAAACAAAGGCTCATTTGTATTTAATCTCAACTTCTTTTTACACATTCTATTCCACATGTAAGTTAAGATGACCAATAAAGACAATTTAATAATTCACATGTAATCTATACATTTAGTGTCAGACTGTTATTCCTAACAAAATTATAACCAATCAAATAAGGAGGAACAATTCCCATTGGTCTGTAAAGACAAGTAAGAATTCTTGCAATCCTTAGCCCCACTATATACTGATATATGTCAAAAAATAAAGTTCTGCTATTCTTGGTTTATTTATACAATATGTTCTGAGATACAAATCTCAGGGGATAGACAATATGGAATACCAATCTATCTGCAAATTGTTTTTGGGGTTAAATGTCCAAGTTTTTCAACATGTACATATCAAGAATATCAGGGAAACAAACAGATTTCTTAAAACTTTCTTTTCATGAGCTGATGTTTATTGTTCAGTTCAGGTCTCATTACAATGATAAAGCACTTGGGAAAAAAGATGCACACCAATAATCCAGCACTGGAGGAAATCATGGAGAAGATCTCCACTGCCAGCATATATTTTCCCCTTGTGCTGAGATAGGTTGGAATAAAGCATAGCCAAACACTGCAGAACACCAACATACTGAAGGTGATGAATTTGGCTTCATTGAAACTGTCAGGCAACTTCCTAGCTAGAAAAGCAGCAGAGAAGCTAACTAGAGCAAGAAATCCCATAAAGCCCAAAACACAATAGAACATAACCGATTCCTCATTGCACTCCATTATGATTTCTTCAGACATTGACAGCATATCAGTATCTGGATATGGTGGAGATGTTATCAGCCATGCAGCGCAAAAAGAAATTTGAACAAGGATGCAGGATAGAAAAATGAAACTGACCATTCTTCCCCCCACCCATTTCCTTAATTTGGAACCAGGTTTGGTGGCCATGAATGCTAGAACCACAACAAAGGTTTTGGCCAATACACAAGAAACTGCCACAGAAAAGATGAGGCCAAAAGCTGGTTGCCGAAGGAGACACACAATCATGTTGGGTCTCCCAATAAATAGAAAGATACAAAGGAAGGAGAGGAGGAGGGAAACTAAGAGAGTGTAAGTGAGATTCCGGTTGTTGGCTTTGACGATAGGAGTGTCTTTATGTTTCATGAAGATTATTATTACCAAAATTGTCATTAAAGCAAAGCAAAGAGAAAGAGCAGTCAGACTGATCCCCAAGGGTTCTTCATAGGACAAAAAGGTGATCCGCTTTGGAATGCACATATTTTTCTGAGAATTGGGATATTGATCTTTGGGACATGGAGAACAATCATCCTTGTCTGAAAAAAAACCACAGTGGA